GCGGGGGGAGGCCGCGGGGCCGGCGGGCGGCGGGGAGGGCCCGGCACGTGGGCCGTGCGGCGGGGAGGCTGCGGACCTCGGGGCCCTGCCCGTGTGCGCCGCGCGCGCGCGCGCGCGGCACCCCGCGGCGCGGCAGGGACCGGGTGGCGCTCCCGGAGGGGCCGTGCGGCCTCATGGTCAGTGCCGGCGCCTGGTGGGGGGGTGGGGGTCCAGAGGACGCGGACGCCCCCCCAGTGACGAGCTCTGGGCAGCCGCAGCCTCTTTGACCTTAGGCACGCTTTCGAAAGGAGGCTCCTGCATGCCTTTCTACTTTGTCGGGGAAGACGGCCACCTGCGGGGACTCAGGCGCTCAGCGTCGTCCTGGGGGCTTTGGGGAGTAAGGACAATGGTGCTTGATGCGCAAGTCGGGGAAGCGTGTCTTTTGTAGCGCTTGCCTTCTTGGAAGGAGAGAGAGCCCCATCCTGAGTCCCCCCAAGTGGGTTGTCGGAGCCCTTCGTGACCTTCTGGGAGGCGCGGGCGGAGCCCCAGACTCTTGAGAGGTCGACCACCTCGTTCCAGGTGTTACTACCTAGAGTTCTGTTGGGAGACAGTGTGCTTGCCCCTCCGCGGAGTGTCTAGGTGAGAAAGTTCTTGCAGGTGTGTTTCTGCCCTGGGCGTGTGCGCCCAGCGACTTGTCGGCGTGAGTGGGGCCTTGGCGGGTGATGCCGGGCACACAGTAGGTGCTTAGTGAAAAACTTGGCCCGTGCCTAGGGTGGTGTGTTAAGTTACAGCCTTTCGTGAAAAACTTCGCCTTCGTTCCTGCCTTTGGGGAGCCCGAAACAATGTTATCAGATGTTAGGGCTAGCGGCTCTCCGGGAAGTGGGCTCCAGAGCCTGCTCGCGCCCAGTTTTCGGTTTCGTTGGGAGCCCGCGGAGAGATGGGGAGCCCCCATCCCCGGAGTTGCGCGGGGAGAGCAAGCGGGGCTGTTGTCTGGCTGCATGCAGTGTAGTCCTCACCTTTGCACTGGGTGTCGGGGAAGAACACTGCCTTTCCACAAACCGCCCTTTGTTACTGCTGACGGAGGCAGAGCCCAGGGAGCCCCAGTGGTTTCTGGCTCTGCTCTGGAGTGGGAGGGATGCTCAGCTGGCTGCCGCCTTCTCCCGGGCTGCGTGGAGACAGGTCTGGGGCCGCTCAGGTGACAGGGCAGTCTGGAAAAGAATTCTCCCCCCCTTCGAGGATGTGGAATGGTCTTGTAAATAGACAGAAATGACTAAGCACTTGAAAGAGGGTGGGAAAAATTAGCTTTAGGAAATCTTGTGTTCTTTTGCTATTCTTAGTGCAGGTTTATTCCCTGTTCCTCAAATCCTGTGAGTCGGGATGGGATTCAGTTTGCATAGATTGCAGTATTTATTTTTCAATTAGTGTAGTAAATGAGCAGCCACAGCCACTGTGCACAAAAGGAGAGCGGGTTCGGTAAATCCCAGGGCTTTGTGTCAGCATCTTCTTAGAAGTTCATCGTGGGGATTTAATTTTTCTCTTCGGCCGAACTTAATATAGGTCACTTTTTAACACCTTAGCTTTAGGCTCGCTCAGATGTCCTTGCCCTGCTGAGTTTTAAAAATACATGTGGAATTCTTTTGAGCCACACTGACAGTCAAAGATAACTGTTCAGGTTTTTACTTTAATCCCGCTTTTCTCTTTTTTTTTGTAAAAATTTTTTTCAAGATTTATTTGTCAGAGAGCACAAGCAGGGGGAGTGGCAGAGGGAGAGGGAGAGGCAGGGTCCCCACCAAGCAAGGAGCCTGACGCGGGGCTCCTGGGATCATGACCCGAGCCGAAGGCAGACGCTTAACCGACTGAGCCACCCAGGCGTCCCTAATCCTGCTTTCCTCATTTTAGAAGCAGCTTGTCTTTTATGTTGATATTGTTTAACTTTTTTTTTTTTTTTACTATCTTTGTTTTCCATGGAGATATGGTAGATTAAGAAAAGGATTGATTTGTGTGTAAATTGATAGAATGAAATATAATTTCCTTTTTATTCTTTTTTTTTTTAAAGATTTTATTTATTTATTTGAGAGAGAGAGAGAGAGACCACGAGAGGGAAGAGGGTCAGAGGGAGAAGCAGACCCCCCTGCTGAGCAGGGAGCCCGATGTGGGACTCGATCCCGGGACTCCGGGATCATGACCTGAGCCGAAGGCAGTCGCTTAACCAACTGAGCCACCCAGGCGCCCATTTCCTTTTTATTCTTTTTAATTTTTTGTTTTGTAAGTTTATTGAAAAAGTGTTTTGCTTTGCTTTTTTTTGCTGGTGCATCTCAGTTTATTCATTCAGAATTAAGGTACTTTTAATAGCCATAGGAATGTCATCTAATTATTCCCTTTCATCTTGAGAATTCAAAGACTATGTATAAAGATTTTCAAATTTTAGTATTTTAAAATCCAAGTTAAACTACATCATAGAAGCATTTACTCTGATTTCATTTTTTATTTAAAAACACTGCCTTGTAAAGTCCCTCCATTGAAAATGTGTGTGTATAAAGAAGAAATATGTCTTCTCCCATCTCCCAGAGGTCACCCGTAGTAAGTTTCCTGTCCTTCTTGACTTTTTTCCTGTAGTTACACAGACGTGCTAACTTCTCCACTGAAGTGGACATGCTTTCTGCAGATAGGTCTGCGACTCGTCTGTCTCACCTAGTGCAGGTTGTCTGTCATTATTACAAGCTTGTGAGTGGTCCTGTGGCGGTGTCCTGTGCTGTCAGCTCTGCGTGCCTTGCTCAGGGGATCTTCGGGTCAGTGGGGCGCCTGCTACTGGGATATTGTTCCTATTCTACTGATGAGGAAACTGAAGCACAAACAAGTTGAAAGTGTCTGTAGAGTTCCGTAGCCAGGAGGTGGAGGGAGCCAGAGTTCCAATCCAGCCCACCTCCTGTCAGAGCCCTCTGGTCTGTTCACCAGATCATGGACTGCTTTCAAGGTCAGTGTTAGAGGTATGTTTCATTCCATCACATGCATGTACCACACAGGATTTATTTGTCGGTTTTTCTGTTGATGGACAGCTGGTTTTCATTATTGGACAAGTTTTTCATTTTATCAGCAGTGCTACCATAGATATCTTGTACTTGTTTTTCAGGCACTCTTGTGCTTCTGTAAGATTACTGACTTAAAGGACGTGAGCGCTGAGTGGTTTAAATTTTAATAGCGATTGCTAACTTACTCTCAAAAAAGGTATCAATTTACATACCTGCCAACAGTATATGAGAGGGTGGATTTCCTTTGCACTCTTACCAGCCCTGGATAATGTCAGCTGTTTTAAATTTGTATCTTCGGATAGATCGAAGAAATGATATTCTTCAGCTAACAGATGTTTGAGTACCTCGTCTTTGCAAAGCCCTGTGTTAGGTTCTAGGAAATCCAGTGATGAACTGTGCGCCAGGCACGGCTGTAGGTGTTTGGGATACATCAGTGGGCCACGCACATGGTGAACAGCCCTGCCTTAGTGTGGGAGAAACATACTCAACTACAAACATAAGCAAATGGTTTAGATTGTCAGGTGACAAATGCTGTGGAAAAGGGGAAAAATAGAGCAGGGTAGAAGGAAGGGGGTTGGGCTGGTCAGCCTTACTGAGAAGGTGACCTGAAGGAGGGAGAGAGGGTCAGCTGTGAGGCTGTCTGGAGGAAGAATGTTCCAGACAGGGGTCAGTTTTTGTAAATGCTTTCAGGAAGGGTGTGTCTGGCATGTCTGGGGAAGGGCATGGAGGTCACTCTGGCCAGAATGAAGTTATGGGGGGCGTGGTGGGGGAGGTGGGAGAGGGGAGGGAGGGGAGGGTACGAGGTGAGAGGTCATGGCATCGCGGCAGACCTTGCAGGGCCCTAGCAGCATTCATTGGCTCTCACGATGGGAACCGTTGAGAGTTTTGAGCAGAAGAGTGATGTGATATGACTTATGTTTTAAAAAAAATCACTGGCTGCTAGATTGGCAATAGAGTAAAGGGAGGCATTAATCTGGGGACAAAGTGGTAAGGCTTGGACTGGGTGTATTGACGGAGGTTATATTTTGAAGGTTTGACCAACAGGATTTGGATTAGATATGGAATGAGAGGGGGAGAGAGAGGAGTGAAGGGTCACTCAGACGGTTTTGGCTTGAGCCACTGTGAGAGGTATGCAGTGCAATGAATGCCTATAATTTAGGGATTTGACCCATTTAGGGAGTCCAGGAAAGGTTTCTGAGGCAGAGGTGCTAGAGCTGAGATCTGAAGGGTGAACAGGAGTCCCTGTTTGGAAGAAGCAGGGTGGTGAGAGTACTGGAGAAAGGCCAGTATGGGCTGGCCTGAGTGGGTTTCAGCCTCGGAGCTGAAGCAGAAGTCACTGAAGGGTTTTAAGCAAGTACATGACATGATGGCTTTTAAATTTGTACTTCCCAGATAGGGATTATATATACTTGGTCTTCCTTCTGTTGTGCAGAAAGCTTTAATTTTTACATGGATCTGACCATTTTTAACATTTTATGGTTACTGCTCTTGCTTAGGAAGACCTCCCCAACTCCCATGTTTATTAAAAAAACCCCTCATTTTCAACACTTTTTTGGTTTTGTCTTTTATATTTAGTACTTTAAACCATCTAGAATTTATTTTTGAATTTTAACAAGGTTTATACTAAAAGTTTAGTATCAAGAAGCATTAGCGGGCGCCTGGGTGGCTCAGTCAGTTAAGCGTCTGCCTTCCACTAAGGTCATGATCCTGGGGTCCTGGGATCGAGTCCCACATGAGGCTCCCTGCTCATCAGGGAGTCTGCTTCTCTTGCTGCCCTTCCCCCTGCTCCTGCTCTCTCTCTCACTCTCTCTCTCTCTCTCTCATTCAAATAAATAAAATCTTAAAAAAAAAAAAAGCATTAGCTAAACAGGAGATTACCTAAGAGAAAAAGAAAATTCTAAAGTATATAGGAATAGCAACTCTACGGGGCAGCTGCTATCCCTGGGGCTGAGGCAGAGCGCCCAGGGAAGAAATCAGTCTTCAAGAGGCCACTCCCAGAACTGAGATCCAGACTTTGTTGGCCTTCTGGGAAGCCACTTTCTGGCTTGCTGGGAGAAGCCACCTGCATCTGGAATTTATTTTTGACATGACGTGGGGATCTAATTTTATTTTTCTTCCAAATGGATAGCCAATTATTTTAATACCATTATTCAATGATTCATACATTTGGTTCATTTATTATAACTTGAGAAATCTCCCAACTACTAAACTTTCAGAGATACTTGATCCAGAACACAAAAGCCCTGAGTTCACCCTGCAGTCTTATTGCTGCAATATCCCAACCCACAGTAGCCCAGGATTGTGTGATAGTCTTTAATTTGTATGTTTTACCTGGCTCCCTGGGGATAGAACTGCCTTTGACTCTTAAGGGCTCTGGTTTCTGAAATCTCGTGACTACATCATACAGGAGCTCTTTATGTAGTGAAATATGATGTGCTTTTCTTGTATAATCGTTAAATTGAGTTTAGTCTTCACGAGTATCTAGTAACCATTTTTGTATGCTACAGTTGTGGCAGGTGGTGTGGGGGGCGGGACATAGAAATGACTGAGAGAGAGACAGTTCTCCTTTCAAGAGTCTTGATCGAGTTGAAGGAATGGGCCTGGGACACACTAATGTGAACCGAGGAGGTGCCTAGCGGTAGAGGCTCATTTTCCTCTGTTGGATCCCAGAGGAAGCTGCTACTACCAGAGAACAGGAAGAGTTTTGAAGGAAGGTATCTTTGTTCACTTTTCTCATTAGATAACCTGAATCTCTTCCAGGTGGTAGACTGATTTCTGTTTGAATGCCTCTGGAGAGCGAGCAAACTCACTACCTCCTGTTTTTGACTAGTTACAGTGTTTTTGTGTGTGCTTTAATTGAGCAGAAGCTTGCCTCACCATAACTTCTACCCACGGGTTTTAGTTCTCTTCCCTAGGACCACACAGAGGGAATCCAAGGCATCGTCTCTATGTGAGCCTGAAGAAATTTGATAATATTAGGTTCTTCCCAGATACTCTCTTTATTTCTCCTCTCAGGTAGTTTTGAATTTCCTTAACATCTCCCCCCGATCCCCCAGTGTGTCAGCTTCAACTTGCATTGCCTTTCAGGCACTCGGAAGGTGTCTTTAAAAACTTTTTTCTTTGAAGTGTAGTTGGTACATAGTGTTAGTTTCAGGTGTACGGCATAGTGATTTGAGAAGTCCGTGCGTTATTCTATGCGCACCACAGGTGTGGTCGCCATCTATTGCGGTGTCATTGACTGTATTCTCCACGCTGACCCTTTCATCCCTGTGACGTGTTCATGCCATCACCGGAAGCCGGGACCTCCCTCTCCCCTCCGCTCATTCTGCCCGTCTCCCCCCCCCGCCCCCCGCTCCCCTCTAGCAACCATCTCTTCTCATTTATGGGTTTGTTTCTTTCTGCCTTTTGTTTGTTTCTTTCTGCCTTTTGTTTGTTTATGCATTTGGTTTTTAAGATTTTACATAGAAGTTAAATCATGCAGCATTTGTCTTTCTCTGACTTATTTCACTTAGCATAATACTCTCTAGATCCATCCATAGTGTCACAAATGGCAAGAACCCACTCTTTTTCGCAGCCGAGTAAAATTCCATTCTGTATCTATACCACATCTTTACCCGTCCATCATCACTGGACACTTGGGTTGCCTCCACATC